TAGATACAGTAAGGTAATAGATACAGTATGGTAATAGATACAGTACCAATCACCTGTCTGTAATAGTTGTTATGTGAATGTTTTTTTTCAACACGACTAGTGTTAAAGAAAATATGTTGCTTTCAAAATTTATTACATCTAAAGTACACGTATGTTATCTGTGGGCTAGCTAAATTCCAACAGTTGTGAATTTTACAATATGGCGTCTCCAAAATGATATGAAAAAAGAAAAACAATGGCTTTTCGTGCAACTGGTATGTTTTTTAACGGGCAACAATTTTGCAGTTTGAGTTTCAATGTTGTACTTGAAATTAAACAGAGAAAAGCTTTAGAAAACTGCAACATGGCGACTATTGGTGAGTAGTGTGAAGGTGAAATAATTTGATTTTGATCGTGGAAATTGGAGAAAAGTTATAAATTTGTGGATCGTAAATTTAGGTAAAACTCTCAACAGAGCCTCGGGTTTTAACCCAATGTACATGTATGATACCCGAGGGACGAACCACTTGTCGTACAATCCTACACTCTTGACTTTATGGGCCGTATATAACCAGGCGTATTCTTGTGGAAAATGTCCATCATGTTTGCATATTATATACCAGTATAGAAAGGTATGAAGTTAAGGTGATTTTAAACTATCACAGTGAGATATATCTCAAGTACACTGAATGCAGTTCAGAATAACTTTCCCCGTGTGTAAACGGCACAAATACCATTTGCTATTTTAATTCAAATATTACAATGAAGATTAAATGGGCCTAGCATACAGTAGAAAATTACATTTTCTGGAAAAGATGCGCTGTAATATTATACAATTATGGACTTTTGTGTTGTTGAATATGATGTGATATGAACATGAAAAAGCGATATTAACAGAGGCGAAGCCGAGATCAATATCCCTTTTTCAGGTTCATATCACATCAAATTTACCAGCACAAAAGACCATAACTGTTTTATTATAATATATCCTTTAACAAGAATTGTGTAAAGTTAACCTTTACTGGAACGAGCCTTCGTGTGGAATTTAGCCTTCTTTGAATACAACAGTTCGGCATCGTAGCTTTCGAAGACATCGTCAAGGTTCTTTTCCTTAAGATAGGCATGGAGGACACACACTGCGTGTTCGGTGGTCTTTTTAAGTCACCTGAGCTTTGCTCAAGTGATCTATTCTGATCGCTTTCCGTCCGTCGTCGTCCGTCGTGCGTCGTGTGTAAACTATCCACATTTTCAACTTTTTCTCAAGAACCAGTAGATGGAATTCTTCAAACTTGGTCAGAACCATCCTTGGTATATGAGGCTACAAAATTGTAAAATTGGGATTCATACCCCAACACTAGGGGCCAGGGCGGGGCCCAAAAGGGAAAAGTAACCCCAACCAATATTTCAAAAATCTTCTTCTCCAGACTCAGAGATACTACAGTCATTTTCTTTACATGGAAAGAAAGATCATCAGAGGCTTTATTTAAATTGTCAATTTCAGGACCCCCGAGCTATCCGTTCTCCTTTGGGTAGGGGGTAAATTTACTATAGTTTATATAGGGAAATAACACTTTCGGGTATATTTTGACAATTGTCTGTAGGAAATTATATTTTCTTGTTGAGAATTATCCTTTGAGAAAGATGGTTTCAAATTGTAAAACTGGGATTCCTACCCCAACCCTAGGGGCCAGGGTGGGGCCCCAAAGGGGAAATTAATCAATATTTCAAAAATCTTCTTCTTCAGACTCAGAGGGACTACAGTTAGTTTCTCTGTATGGATGGAAAGATCATCAGGGGCTTTGTTTAAATTGTAAATTTCAGGACTCCGGGCCATCCATTGGTGAGAATTATCCTTAGAGGCAGATGGTTTCAAATTGTAAAGTTAGGATTTCTACCCCAACCCCTGGGTTCTGGGCGGGGCCCCAAAGGGAAAATTAATCAATATTACAAAAGTCTTCTTCTCCAGACTCACAGGTACTACAGCAAATTTCAGTGCATGGATAGAACGATCATCAGGGGCTTTATTTAAATTGTGAATTTCAGGACCCCCGAGGCATCCGTTCCCCCTTGTGGAGGGGGTAAACTTTACTATAGTTTATATAGGGAAATAACACTTTGGGGTATATTTTATCCATTTTCGGCGGGGCCCCAAAGATAACATTTACCAATATTTAAATTCTTATCCTTTGATGACATGAGAAGTATTGTATTTCACTTAGTTTACATGCTGATTTCCACATCACATCTAAACAATAAAATAAAGCTACCAGTACCTATGATATAACTCAGGTGACCGCTAAGGTTCCTGGGCCTCTTGGTTGTGTTAACAGCATCTTTATCTTCGAGTAGATTTTGGAAATTTTCGGATGTAATGGAGACGAAGTGTTCGCCAGCAGCCATCCTCTGTTGGAATTGGCGTCTGACAGATCACGTTCGGTTCTAACTGCGCATGCGCTACGACGGGTTCCGGGAATTACCAAATAGGCTATATTTAGAAATCAATATTCACCGGAAAACCAGTCTACATGGCTGCCTTCGACTCGCAACTATCGTGTAAGGGTTGGGTTATTTATAGTAACGCCAAACTCGCCGCCAATCTAATGCTTTACTCTCGAGTTAATATGGCGGCAAAAGTTTTATTATTTCATGTGCTGGATGAAATTTTGACTGCCGACGAAGTAATATGGTGCATACAGCGCCAAAACCTCGCAATTTTACTTCACCCTAAGAAGATCCACATGAGGGAGCAGGTGCCAAGAATTGGAATGTTTGCAGAGACACTTGTGCCTCGTTATTCCATTGATGATTTTAAGACACGCTTTAGACTACAAAGAGAAACTTTTGAGAAAATACTTGAAATAGTTGGACCAAGTCTCATCAGTGATCACGGTGGTGGTACGGAGCATGTCGAGCCTTAGAAAATGTTACTCGCATTCAAATGGTACATGAGTAACCAAGAAAATATGAGGGAATTTTCCAATTTGTTCCAACTCATCACAATACAAAATTATCTAAACTCACATGTCGCATTCCTTTCCTTCGTCCGCCATCTTAACTCCCGCCAAACTCTCCGAAATCGAAAGTTCCTTATACGACCTTCACCTTGCGTCTGAAATCTGATTTTAGGAAACTCGAGAGTTGCGAGTCGAAGGCAGCCCATGAGTTTTTGAGGACTGGTCACGTGTATAGGATCCGACCAATTAATGGCGAGGAATTTTCAAGGATATACTAATAAAGGTTTAAAAAACCCTTTTACCAAATAAAATCCTACCCTTTTACCAAAGAAATCCTACTTAAATGAAAAGCATGAACCGTTAATTAATTGTTCTGTTGTTCTAAAGTATCTCATTGGTAAGTCCATCTTCTTTTCTTGTAGGATGAAAGAGGTGGCACTAGGTGACGGCAAGATACTCTTAGTTAAGGAAGGTGACGACATCCATGCGTTGGGGGCACAGTGTACTCATTACGGGGCCCCGCTAGCCAAAGGTCAGTACCAACCACGACCAGGTTATTACTGTTCAGAGTAATACTGTAAGGTGTGTCAAAGGCCAGGTATTCAGAGGTCAGTACAAATCAAGTCAAAGTTAGTAGTCGCGGTATGGAGTTACTCTAGGTCATGTCAATGTTAGTAGTCGTGGTATGGAGTTACTCTAGGTCATGTCAATGTTAAAGGTAACGTCAGGTCAAATCACGTCAATGTTACTGGCGTTAAGTTACTGTTAGTAATGTCAAGGCCGACGGTTCGTACACATCACGTCGATGTTACTGGAGTTAAGTTACTATTAGTAATGTCAAGGCCGACTGTTCGTACCCATCACGTCAATGTGACTGGCGTTAAGTTACTATTAGTAAAGCCAACGCCGACTGTTCATACACATCACGTCGATGTTACTGGCTTTAAGTTACTATCAGTAATGTCAAGGCCGACTGTTCGTACACACCACGTCAATGTGACAGGCGTTAAGTTACTATTAGTAATGCCAAGGCCGACTGTTCATACACATCACGTCGATGTTACTGGCGTTAAGTTAATATTAGTAATGTCAATGGCCGACTGTTCACACAAATCACGTCAATGTTACTGGCGTTAAGTTACTGTTAGTAATGTCAAGGCTGACTGTTCGTACACATCACGTCGATGTTACTGGAGTTAAGTTACTATTAGTAATGTCAATGGCCGACTGTTCGTACACATCACGTCGATGTTACAGGCGTTAAGTTACTATTAGTAATGTCAAGGCCGACTGTTCGTACCCATCACGTCAATGTGACTGGCGTTAAGTTACAATTAGTAATGCCAAGGCCGACTGTTCATACACATCACGTCGATGTTACTGGCGTTAAGTTCCTATCAGTAATGTCAAGGCCGACTGTTCGTACACACCACGTCAATGTGACAGGCGTTAAGTTACTATTAGTAATGCCAAGGCCGACTGTTCGTACAAATCACGTCGATGTTACTGGCGTTAAGTTACTTTTAGTGATGTCAAGGCCGACTGTTCGTACACATCACGACGATGTTACTGGCGTTAAGTTACTATTAGTAATTTCAATGGCCGACTGTTCGTACACATCACGTCGATGTTACTGGCGTTAAGTTCCTATCAGTAATGTCAAGGCCGACTGTTCGTACACATCACGTCGATGTTACTGGCGTTAAGTTACTTTTAGTAATGTCAAGGCCGACTGTTCGTACACATCACGTCAATGTGACTGGCGTTAAGTTACTATTAGTAATGCCAAGGCCGACTGTTCATACACATCACGTCGATGTTACTGGCTTTAAGTTACTATCAGTAATGTCAAGGCCGACTCTTCGTACACATCACGTCAATGTGACTGTCGTTAAGTTACTATTAGTAAGGTCAAGGCCGACTGTTCGTATACATCACGTCAATGTTACTTGCGTTAAGTTACCATCAGTAATGTCAAGGCCTACTGTTCGTACACATCACGTCCATGTTACTGGCGTTAAGTTTCTATTAGTAATGTCAAGGCTGACTGTTCGTACACATCACGACAATGTTACTGGCGTTAAGTTCCTATCAGTAATGTCAAGGCCGACTGTGCGTACACATCACGTCAATGTTACTTGCGTTAAGTTACTTTTAGTGATGTCAAGGCCGACTGTTCTTATAAATCACGTCAATGTTACTTGCGTTAAGTTACTATTAGTAAGGTCAAGGCCGACTGTTCGTAGACATCACGTCAATGTTACTTGAGTTAAGTTACTATCAGTAATGTCGAGGCCGACTGTTCGTACACACCACGTCAATGTGACAGGCGTTAAGTTACTATTAGTATGTTACTGGCGCTCAGTTACTTTTAGTAATGTCAAGGCCGTCTGTTCGTACACATCACGTCAATGTGACTGGCGTTAAGATACTATTAGTAATGCCAAGCCCGACTGTTCGTACACATCACGTCCATGTTACTGGCGTTAAGTTCCTATCAGTAATGTCAAGGCCGACTCTTCGTACACATCACGTCAATGTTACTTGAGTTAAGTTACTATCAGTAATGTCAAGGACGACTGTTCGTACACATCATTCCAATGTTACCATCACGTCGATGTTACTGGCGTTATGTTACTATTAGTAATGTCAATGGCCGACTGTTCGTACACACCACGTCAATGTGACAGGCGTTAAGTTACTATTAGGAATGACAAGGCCGACTGTTCGTATAAATCACGCCAATGTTACCGGCGTTTAGTTACTATTAGGAATGTCAAGGCCCACTGTTCGTACACATCACGTCGATCTTATTGGCGTTACGTTTCTATTAGTAATGTCAAGGCTGACTGTTCGTACACATCACGACAATGTTACTGGCGTTAAGTTAGTATTAGGAATGTCAAGGCCCACTGTTCGTACAAATCACGTCAATGTTACTTGCGTTAAGTTACCATCAGTAATGTCAAGGCCTACTGTTCGTACACATCACGTCAATGTTACTTGAGTTAAGTTACTATCAGTAATGTAAAGGCCGACTGTTCGTATAAATCAGGTCGATGTTACTGGCGTTATGTTACTATTAGTAATGTCAAGGTCGACTGTTGGTACACATCATTCCAATGTTAGCATCATGTCGATGTTACTGGCGTTAAGATACTATTAGTCATGTCAAGGCCGACTGTTCATACAAATCACGTCAATGTTACTGGCGTTAATTTACTATTAGGAATGTCAAGGCCGACCGTTCGTATAAATCACGTCAATGTTACCGGCGTTAAGTTACTTCTAGTAATGTCAAGGCCGACTCTTCGTACACATCACGTCAATGTTACTGGCGTTAAGTTTCTATTAGTAATGTCAAGGCTGACTGTTCGTACACATCACGTCAATGTGACTGGCGATAAGTTACTATTAGTAATGTCGAGGCCGACCGTTCGTATAAATCACGTCAATGTTACTGGCGTTAAGTTCCTATCAGTAATGTCAAGGCCGTCTGTTCGTACACATCACGTCGCGTACACATCACGTCAATGTGACTGGCGATAAGTTACTATTAGTAATGCCAGGGCCGACTGTTCATACACATCACGTCGATCTTATTGGCGTTACGTTTCTATTAGTAATGTCAAGGCCCACTGTTCGTACACATCACGTCAATGTGACTGGCGTTAAGATACTATTAGTAATGCCAAGCCCGACTGTTCGTACACATCACGACAATGTTACTGGCGTTAAGTTTCTATTAGTAATGTCAAGGCTGACTGTTCGTACACATCACGTCAATGTTACTGGCGTTAAGTTACTATCAGTAATGTCAAGGTCGACTGTTCGTACACATCATTCCAATGTTAAAGTACCAGTCACTAACGCGTGGTTACACGTAGGTGTCTTATTGATCTGTAGGAAATGCTGTTGTGAAGTTTATATTAGCATAGACAACATAAAATACAATGAAATATTTAAACAATACAACAGGTGTTTTGATTCACAATAACAATAAATAATTCATACCTTTATTTCATCTCTTACTGTTACTTCTTTAAGGTATCATGTAATATTGCGGTTATCAGGAATATTCATAAAGGGAGAAAACTGTGGTAGCCACGGTCGCTAACGTGCACAATCATTACTACTGTGTGCAATCAAGCGTGAGCTTCAGACCGCTTACTCTCCCATGAATTTCGGTTCTGTCCCAAGCGGTGGCGGGAAAAGATATGATGTCTGATAGAGTTAGTTGTTATCCCTCCGATGGCACGGATTTTCCTCCACCGAGAAAAACCAACAAGCTCTACAGAGCTTATATTTGTTGTTGACAATGAACACGACGATACATAAAGATGATTTATTTAAATAGTACAAATTCTGTAAACATGGTGTTTTAATTTTTGTCTAGGTGCCTACTGTAAGGGTCGAGTGCGTTGTCCCTGGCACGGCGCGTGCTTTAACGTGCGAACTGGAGACATTGAGGACTACCCAGGGCTTGACAGTATTCACACTTTTGATGTAAGTTTACAATGCATTTCAAATCTATATTTGTTAATAGAAAGTTTAGCAATATAGTGAATTATATACATGTTAAAGACGGATGCGTCTACAATATATGTTCTGTGTTAAGAGTCGTTTATCATGTATATATATTCATTTATTTAAAATTTTATTTTAAAAACAAAACGTGCATCGGCTCTTACCATGTTTATTGTACTACAATGTCCACTTAAGTTTCGTTTGTTTTCTTCATTACATTGCCCTTATTTTAATCAGCATCTTCAGTACCAGTAAGCTATAATGTCTTTTACTAACAGGTATCAGTAGCTGAAGGAAAGGTTAAGGTCAAGGGCAGTAAGGCAGCCTTAAAAACCTTCCGTCGTCAACGCAACATGTGTAAGGCGAAGGAAGACAGTACCGACAGTGTCCTCATCATAGGAGGCGGTAAGAAGAGCTCTAGTGATTCCCGTTCTGATCGGTCGCCTGTTTAAAACGATTTATCTCGCAATTCTTGCTACAATGATTTGTTGAAGTTTTATGAGCGAGACTGTTGGAAAAATAATTATACATACTTGTAAATAGCATGTAGTATGCGTACAGAAATATATGAAATATAGATTGCACCCATATCAGTGTAAAATAGAAAAGTTCCATGTAGGATACTGTTCGTAAACATATAATGTCACAATAGTAAATAGACACTGACTAAAACTTGTGTTGTACTTATATGTTGTAACAAAGAACATGTAATCATTCGTTATATCATAATTGAGAAGTTTTTCTCTGCAATGGTTAGGAAAATGAAGTCAAATTCTAAGCCCCTTAGATGGAAATTCCTATCTAAATAAATGATATTTTAAATATGCCTTATTTATTTATATACATCGTTATATTTTGACATTCGCACGAGTTACAGGTCCGGCCTCTGTGGTCTGTGCGCAGACTCTCCGACAGGAGGGATTTACAGGCCAGGTATCCATAGCAACCAAAGAGGAACACTTACCATACGACCGAGTCAAACTGAGTAAGGTAGGGCCACGTCCCCAGCGACCTGTCAGAGACATGTTGGTACAACCGTATTCAAATAAATATGTGTATATGTAAGCGTCATACATTCACGTGAATGCCAACTGATATGTTATTTTATTGTGTATTTGCAAATAATATAGACAGTTGTTTTCGTAAGAAAAAGTTTTCTTCCGTTGTAAAACAAGGATAAATGTTTCAAAGTATTGCATTACTCAGTATAAATATTTCAAGATGTGCAGCAATCAAGGCGTTTATTGTTTAGTTTAAATTTAGCATTCTTTATAAACCGGACGATTACACCAAACATCCTACATGCTGTCATAAAGGATTTACTATACTTTATGGAGAACAATTCAAAATCCCTTAATTTGCGTTTTTATGTAAAAATTGAATATATACCCATAGCACTGATATATAGCATACTGTAAGAAAATAATTTTAGTCCTCAAATAGAAGAAATAAGAAATAACTGAATACAATTTTAAACAGGCAATGGATGTGAAGCCAGCAGCCATAGCTCTCCGCGATGAAGATTTCTACAAAAATGCGGACATCAACATCCTCACTCAAAAAGAGGTAGGCACAATCAATATTACATATAGAATCTATTTTGGACACAAAGAGTACAAGCTATTAAGACATACTATAACAGTATGGGGGTCGTGCTGTCTTTCCATACAATTTCCATACACTTCCAGTCCATTCCTGGTTCCTTTTATATGCTTTTTTATAGGTATTACTTTTTTCATATGTAAACCTTCGTTGCATTTTCAATATTACTTTAGTTACACTGATTTGAACAGCGTAGTTATGATAATATACAACATTTATATAGCGCCCTATATAATTTGTAAAATTACTCTAAAGCGCTTTACAACATATGGATAATAGTAATGGTTATAATTGCGAAAACAAAAAACAAAGGCTTACAATCACTTTTATACATTTAAGCAAGCAATGTGCACATAATTGAACAAATAAAAGGGTGGTATTTACATGGCGACGATTCGAAAATGCAGACATGAAGAGGTGAGTTTTGATGTCCCTCTTGAACTTGGCCAGGGCATTTGACTTTCTCACTCAGCTAAGTAATTATCTTTAAAACATAAATGGAGAATCACATAATATGGAAAATAGTCAGCCATCATGTTATTTTACAAATTGTTTGCATAAACAACGTATATACAATTTTAAGTAGAAATTCAGAAATAATAATTGCTATTTTTAGTGGTGTTTGGATAGTTTCTTGTGAATAAAATAAAAACAAAAAAAAATAATGACTGCGTACAAGTGTAAAATTTGTGCACTTTAGGCTGAAGCCGTGGACACAGAGAAAAAGTCTGTTCAGTTCAAAGATGGGAGCACGCAGACATACGGCTCACTGGTATTGGCTACTGGAGGAAGGTATGAGTACCGGTGTAGGTCGATTCTATCATTTTTATCCTAAAAATAGAAGTTGACATATGTTGACCCTAAAATTGCATTACTTTGATTGGTATTTCTGCGATGTAACAGTTATGTGTCTCTCTGCCAGTCCCCGAGTCCTGCCCATTCCCGGTATAGACCTTGGAAACGTGCGAATGCTCCGAACACCCGCGGATGCTAACTTTATCGCTGAAAATGCTGTGGGCAAGAATGTTGTGATTATAGGATCATCGTTCATTGGTATGTATTAGGACGAGATCGATCTTATTTATTGTTAAAAGTTAGAATTCGTTATGTTAGGGGCAAAAAAGCCGGCACACCCAATTGGTCTTAACTACTATTGAACCAGAAAAGGAGGGTGGTTATTGTGTGAATTTCATTTTTTGTTTTGTATTTTTTATATATATATTTAACTTTATAACTTATATTTAACGTGCAGATAAGTGCGAGGCTCGATTTTATCCATCAACCTTAACTGGTGGCATCAGTGTTTTACAATTTATACAAACTGAAAGCAGGGTTAGACATTGATAACATTTGTTGGCTGTTTTGTTTGACATTTTTTATGCAATATTGTGAAATCAGATATTTTCGTGGGGCCTAAATTTTGTGATTTCACGACAACACCATTTTGTGAGAACATGTAGATAACGAGTACCCACTTAAACGAAGACTAGCGTTATAACAAACCTGTAATTATTTAGTGGACCCACGAAATCAACGAAATTCAAAACCACACGAACATAAGTGGTTACACAATATTTGATTGAGCATATGATAAAAAAAATATGAAACTCGTTCTCCTACCACCTCGTTTGAGATCCTTTGTATACTAATATGGATATATAGCTTGAGTGATAATATTCTATTTGACCGGTATCGTTGTTATTCAGTTGATATATTATGATATACTTGGTCAGTTGTGTTCATACGCATTATAGAAGTATATTATATGATTTTCTCTAACTGGAATTAGTCGGAAAATCTTCAAATTTAAACGAATGTTTTATTTCCAGAATACCTATTTCTTCTTTAAAAACCCACCTTAAACAGTTTCTCTAGAAGGGCGAAAAAAGGTTTTTCTTTTCTTATATATAAATATATTCAATACGTACGTTTTAAATTTGTTTGCTACATAATGATGAATAATTACTCTTTTGTTTCACAGCATACTAGTGTTAACAACATGACTTTTTTCTTGCAGTTTAAAAGTATTATAATATTTTATTACTTATCAATATTATACGCAACGGCATGATGCCTCTTTCGTTCCCATTCTCATATTGTATCCATTATTATACAGCCTATATTGTACATAGTTTCTATAGATATAGTACTGATCAATATCATAAAAGTTAATATGATTTTCACGATTGGTATTTAAGTATGTATCCTATTTCATCTCTGTGTTATTACTCTATTGTAAAAAATATAACTGGTTTAATTCTGTAGTGTTTTCTGGTGGTATTAAGGAATTCGTGTAAATCTTGTTTCTTTTGCTTTTTAAGGATCCCCGTACCACTGCCGAAAACTGCTAAAATAATGAATTTAAATGTTTTACCGGCAAGGCAATACCTTTGATCAATCATTTCTCAAAACAATGCCATACATTTCGAACGGTCTATGAAAATATGTCGACAAAATAAACAGACTAAAACTAAATCAACAGTTCTCTGAGAGTGAAAATGCGGCGTATTCACAATATGGTGGCTCATACCAAGAGAGCGGTATGAACAGCGGTCGTTCACGTTTCATTTCCACTGCTGTTACATCAAAAACGAAATTATTTTTACATTGGAACTCTTCAGTGATCAAAAACGAAATTATTTTTACATTGGAACTCTTCAGTGATTTGTCTGCCGTGGGACAGCGATCCTTAAACGTAGTGAATCTTTGTTATGATCATGCATGGAACTTAAGGAATGATGTCTTTGTGTTTTGCTGTCTATTGGCTGCTCTGACCTATCATTTATGTTCCATCATCAGTTATCGATTATAATGGCAGAATATTTTAATCAATGAGATCATTTTAACAATCGACTTTTAATCACGTCCCGTTAACGTAAAATAACAAAACTGTTTACAGTATTATTCTCCTCTGTGTTTCAACACATTAGCTGTGTTATTATGTAGTGAAGTCTGTAGAGGTATTATCTGTACCCAGGCATGGAAGTGGCGGCCTACCTGGCAGACAAAGCAGCCAGCGTGTCGGTTGTAGACATCATAAAAACACCATTCCAACTGGTCTTGGGGGACAAAGTAGGCGCACTGCTTAAACAGGTAAAGGTTTAAGGCATGTGTGGATTCGGTATGGGCATCTAGCCTTGTTCACGTACAGAGAGAATCTTCAGCATTGGGATGTTATTGTTGTCACGTATCAGAGAAGATTTAACACTGCACTAAGGTATAAACACGTTTCTGTAATCAACCTGATTGTATGTAGAGCTTTGCATGATTTTGTGGGATATACATTTCGCAGTGTCGCATTAGGACCATTGTAGGTCTTTCTCCCGCTACAACATACTCTTCTGATTGGTTCTATTATTTTCAAATACGTTTTGAATGGAATCGTGGGATTATCACTAGAAATATTAGATATGGAATCATCTATTTCCTGGTACGTCAAAGCAGAAAGCCAAGCAAAGTAAAATACATTAATGTATCAGATTACTTTTGCGTCCATTTAGGACGCAATAATACTGGTGGTACTAAAGAGAGAGAGACAGAAAAAAAGTCAAAAGTGTTCCGAACCAGGTAGAAATACAGCTGAACGAGAAAGATGCGTATAAAACGATCAATAAAGTTACAAATATGCTACTTTCTCCTGCTACAGATAAATTAGCATTATGTGTAAACCGTGTCAGAATATAGTCTAGCAACAAGGTTATGGCCAACCTGACTGACTGATCATCGACAAGCAGGGTCAACCACTTTGTGATTTAAAATAACTAATTACCTTTTAAAAATATTAAATCGATACAAAAATTCTTGTTTCATTAAGGTATCGTCAGTCAATGAAAACCAATGTCAAAATTTACCGAAACCTGTGTGGAAATACTGTAAATGTGAAAAGTGTCAATAAACACGAATTAAGTGAAACGAACACCCATGAGAAATAAAACCAGAATGTAATAACCTTTACTTGACGAATCGGTGGGATTCAGTCTAGTAACCGTAATGTAAAACACTTTACTTGACGAATCAGTTGGATTCAGTAAAGTAACCGGAATGAAATAACCTTAACTTCATGAATTAGTGGAAATCAGTATAGTAACCGAATGTAATAACATTTACTTTACGAGTCAGTGAGAATCATTATAGTAACCGGAATGAAATAACCTTAACTTCACGAATCAGTGGGATTCAGTATAATAACCGAAATGTAATTACATTTACTTCACGAATCAGTGGGATTCAGAATAACCGGAATGTAATAACCTTTACTTTACGAATCAGTGGGATTCAGTATAGTAACCGGAATGTAATAGCCTTTATTTCACGAATCAGAGGGATTCAGTATAGTAACCGGAATGTAAGAACCCTTATTTTATGAATCAGTGGGATTCAGTATAATAACCGAAATGTAATAACCTTTACTTTACGAATCAGTGGGATTCAGTATAGTAACCGGATGTAATAACCTTTACTTCACGAATCAGTGGGATTCAGTATAATAACCGGAATGTAATAACATTTACTTTACGAGTCAGTGAGAATCATTATAGTAACTGGAATGTAATAGCCTTTACTTCACGAATCTGGGGGATTCAGTATAATAACCGGAATGTAATAAACTTTACTTTACAAATCAGTGGGATTCAGTATAGTAACCGAAATGTAATAACCTTTACTTCACGAATCAGTGGGATTCAGTATAGTAACCGAAATGTAATAACCTTTACTTCACGAATCAGGGGGATTCAGTATAATAACCGAAATGTAATAGCCTTTACTTTACGAATTAGTGAGATTCAGTATAATAACCGGAATGTAATCACATTTACTTCACGAATCAGGGGTATTCAGTATGTTAACCGGAATGTAATAAACTTTACTTTACAAATCAGTGGGATTCAGTATAGTAACCGGAATGTAATAACATTTACTTCACGAATCAGTGGGATTCGGTATAGTAACCGGAATGTAACAACCTTTACTTCACGAATCTGGGGGATTCAGTATAGTAACCGGAATGTAATAACCTTTACTTAACCAATCAATGTGATCCAATATTGTAACAAGTGCTTAAAGTATTAGTAATTTTAAAACAATCGTCAGCTTCCGAAAGTAATTTTCTTCACATTTTATTCTTTCGAATTTATTCTTTTTTCAAATTAATATCCTTAATTACTAAATGTGTGTATTATGTTGCTATATGTGTGCGAGTTGAATGGGAATTTGGGCAACTACTGGTGCACTTTTGTTCAGGAAAAATACAGGTTTAAGGGTGTGGTGTATCACTTCTATCAGCATGACGTTGTGTATGGTATGTACTTAAGATGTAGGATGATCCTTTAGTAAGGAAATGGTATGTGTCAGTACGTCGGATCCTTTGTACAAGTAGGTTAAAAGGGTTGAAGGGGTTAAAAGGGTGTAGGTTGGTGACAGCGTGTGCGGTATGTGTGAGCTGGATGTAAAGGGTTAAAAGGGTGTAGGTTGAAGACAGCGTGTGCGGTATGTGTGAGCTGGATGTCAGCTATATATAGTGTATAACTGAAGGTGTAAGATAGCATACATGTGGGTATGGGTTTAAACTACTAAGGTTATGGAAATATCGTAAATATACAGAGTAACGGAAGGTAACGACATCTAAAGGTCATCCAAACTTGACAAATCCTTTGAAATTCTGGCGAACCCAAACAGGAAAACCCTAAGATAATTAAGACAAGATATTTATTGGATTTTATTAAATTTCATTTAGGAAACTCCTCAATTTCATTACAAATTAACAGGATCATATAGAATAAGCCTATTTGTGATCTGTATTGCCAGTCTCTCTTTGTATGCAGGTATTTGTGTGGACGTAGTGCTTGATATATATACAAAAAAAAAACACCATTTAATTTTTATAAAGCAGATTTTAGTTAGAACTATAGTTGATTATTTATGACTATTGTGGGAACAATGGTCATTTCAGTTTAAAAATATATAGTTTTGGAAATCGAGCAATTTGGCTCTTGATAAGGAGCAATAGGTTATACTTTGCTAAAGTGAAATATAAATAATTACAGCTACAGATTTAAATTCTACTTAGTAAAAGTTAAAATTTCTAACTGGGCTGAGAACAGAATTCTTATTGATCTATTTTCAGATTGTACAATAAATCATTATAGTTGTTGTTCTAGATATATAATCCCTGCATGTTGCATGCTTGGTAAGCTCCATAACCGTGCATTCGTAACAAGAAACATCCGCTTTTACTGCATTTTGTTCAAGCGCATAGGCAACGTATAATCAAGATGGCAGTGCACAGCTTCATACACGTAAACACTAGATTAACGTTGTTACTAAGCAGTTTAACATGTGTATATGGACGTGTAAAGTGTAAGGACCTACACGAATCTGTATTGGATGTTGACAATGTTTACCGACCAGGAATGGAAGTGGCGGCATGTTTGGTGAAAGTGGCGAGCTCTGTGACAGTAGTCGTGAGAGGATGTGTCCCTTTTGAAAATGTACTAGGCCAAAAAATTGGATCTGTTCTCCTTAAGGTAACACTTAATAGAGGTTGTGTATTTGTTGTGTTGGCAATTATTTAGCTGGCCGATTTACTTTTCCTAATAAGTTTTCTTTGTTCATATTAATTTGAATAAACAATGATTTAATTTAGCTTTCTTGTATGATAATTTAAATAAACCGTGATTCCGATTTCTTTTCAAGTTAAGATCATTGTTTCCAAGTAAACGATCATATATTACATTTATCAGGAACTACAACAATATATGATTAACAAAGAAAAACACGGTATGTTGTCGCATGTTCCCAGATGCATGAAGAGCATGGAGTAAAGTTTTACCTAGAAAGGGGGATCAAAGAGTTTTCTGGAGAAGACGGTCACGTGACTGAAGCAGTACTCTCTGACGACACTAGGCTGCCCGCTGACCTCTGCGTTCTTGGAGTGGGTGAGTGTGCGTGCGTGAAAGGGAGTTCTTGTATATAGATAATTAAAATGGTTCGATACCTATTCCTTGGTGGGTTGTCAGTAAGAGTCAGTGATGCATGATATTATTCAAATTAAACAAGAATATCCCTTTCAGATAATCATGAGCATTTTTGCAAACCTTTGATAAATTGGTCTAAATTATTATTCATTGCAGATATCATTGCAGTGGAACTCCTAATAATATGAGATACATGACATAATTAAGTAGCAAACTTTAATTTCCGTTGTCCTGGATTTGAATTCGTCACCCTAAAAGCGTCTATAATTGTCATTTAAATGGTTATTTTGTTGTAATTAGAAGTACAAATAACGGTTATTCCACTTTCTTGATATACAGGCGTGGTACCTACAACAGATTTCCTAAAGTCCTCCGGTTTAACAATGAACAGGGGCTTCATTCCTGTCAATGAGGTAGGTCCAAAATAGTATTGAAGCTTTACAAAACTACTAAAATGTATTCATTCTAAAAACGAAATCAATCCTGCACATTGATTTTGCCGGAAATGCCCATTCTGACCGAGCTGAAATGAAAATTAACTTGGTTGAATACAAAAAACGTGCGACTTTCATATTAAGAGCACTGTAAGTCATTGTGACGTTGGTTATACAAAAGAAATATTGTAGGCGTGCCAATGACATTGGGTATCCTATACAAAATTAATTATTCAAACTTGTTTAATTGTGACGCACCGCATCAAACATACCCACTAGGACATTGCTAGTCTATTGTACTTTTACAGTATATGGAGACTAGCCATCCAGGTGTGTACGCTGCTGGTGACATCGTGGAGTTTCCTCTGTTTACTGAGGGTAACAAGAGTGTCAATGTACAGCACTGGCAAATGGCGCATGCTCATGGTGAGTATTGAATATTACAAAAATAGTATAATGCGACTGGTCCTGATTTATCAGGAACTAAAACAATTAACTCCTGCGTTGATTTATGATTCCAATTCAATCTTATTTTAGAAAAGTCATAGGAAATCTGTACTAAATTACTTTTAAACGAATAATATAGAATATTGCTTATAATTCAAATGTAAAATGGATTCTATAAGAAAATTGTCTCGACAAAAGTGTAGAAATCTTTTTGAGAAAAGATCAATTTGGACCTTATGCAATAACACTAGTATTACAATTAAAGATCATGGTACATTGCTTCGAAGACACGCTAATTTTGATTTATGACTAGAGCACACTTATATTTAGAGGTGTAATTTAGTTTTCCTTTTGTCATATTTCAAAACACGGTTTTTATTATTATTGTTATGACTCTTATTACTCCGCCATCTTCAAATCTAGCCATCTTCAACAGTATGTCAATAATGGTGATCTTAGTACTAAAGCCTGCTACAAACGTGACGGCTTTTCACCATCGGTAACTTTCGGTACATCAGCAGTAACGTTACTTACCTCCCTTGCTGGCCTGTCGCGGTAACTTTCTGTACATCAGCAGTAACGTTACTTACCTCCCTTGCTGGCTTGTCACGGTAACTTTCTGTACATCAGCAGTAACGTTACTTACTTCCCTTGCTTGCTTGTCACGGTATCTTTCTGTACATCAGCAGTAACGTTACTTACCTTCCTTGCTGGCTTGTCATGGTATCTTTCTGTACATCAGCAGTAACGTTACTTACCTCCTTTGCTGGCTTGTCACATTTAGCTGTATCATGTTGATCAGTACTTCGTCTTGGTTTGCTATCGGAAAAGGTCAATCGATGTTATCATTACCTACTGGTTTTCAACTATGTTAGTCTAATGTAAACAACGTTAAAGAGTTTCATATATTGTTCTATTTCGTTGGTGATATACATATTTCTTTGTTAATGCTGTGCAGTAAACCTATCTTTCCAGGCCACCTGTTGCCTCCGAATTCAAGGATGATTTTTCGAGTATCCGCGGTAACTACTTTCTGGTCATAACTTGTACTTGTGTGTTAATTTTTCAGGACGGACGGCAGCCCTGAGTATCGTGGGTAAGAAGACCGAGATATCTAGTGTGCCATACTTCTGGACAGTCATGTACTCAAAGAGCGTCAGATACACAGGTAAGGAAGAACCTTAGACACACAGGTAATAACTGGGCGCATGATACACAGGTAAGGTTAGAACATCAGACATATAGGTAAAAAGTTGATATAAAGTCATTGAACAAGTTGAAGATTAATAACATAAAAGGTATGATATGCGCAGTGATGTCATATGAAAAGTAACTATTATTCAAAATGCATCTTTTCTAGAATTTATTCTGATACGGTTTACATGAAATAACAGTTAATGATAATAGAATCTTCCCCTACCTTGAGGGTATCACAGAGAAATCTCCTACCCGAGGGGTGATGTTTTTTGTTGTCTAAATCGAAACTCTACCAAGGGTTAAGACAACCAAAAATATCATCCCGAGGGTTCGAGATTTCTCCGTTACACTCTCAAGGTAGGGGATTATTATTTTTCTCCCATCCTATTATTTCAGTCACAACTCCAACGGCAGTAATCTGCAATGCTTGTAAACAAAAACACATTTGGGGTATGATTATGTCATTCACTTCGGTAACGTCACAACTACCGGTGACACATTTTAATAACGTCACAATTGAACACGTGCTAATCGTAATCGGCACGAGGCTTTCTCTCCCTAGGGGATGATAAGCTGATCTTTCCCGGCTAAAACGGGACACACCTGTGAAGGGTGGAAGAATAAATCATCTACTTTCCCCAAAAGTTGTGACATGATAACGTAATAAAGGTTTGTGAAAGAACCTTTCCCTTGTGCTATGTTTCTACATATTGACAAGAAACTTCATTCCTTTGACCTAAGTACGCCTGGTGTGTCTTAAATGAACGAAATAACCATATAGTGCAGTAGATATTTACTTAATTTGGCTTTTTGCAGCAACAAACTAAATTTTCAATATGTATTTCCATACTTTGTATTGTTCAGGAATTCATTTTTTGGCATACTGAATATATCAACTTATTTATGTGCAATTCCATGTGTTTACAGGCTATGGTGTCGGTTACGACGATATCGTGTTCCATGGGGATGTTGAGGCCTTGAAGTTCGTAGCTTTCTATACCAGGTAAGCTATGAATGTCCTAAACTTAATGAAACATTCATTCGGTAATACTATTCCACGGGGATGTAGAGGCCTTGAAGGTCGTAGCTTTCTATACCAGGTAATCTATGAATGTCCTAAACTTAATGAAACATTCATTCGGTAATAATATTCCACTGGGATGTAGAGGCCTTGAAGTTCGTAGCTTTCTATGCCAGGTAAGCTATGAATGTCCTAAACTTAATGAAACATTCATTCGGTAATAATATTCCACTGAGATGTAGAGGCCTTGAAGATCGTAGCTTTCCTAACTAGGTAAACGATGAATATCTTAAAATTAATGAAACATTGATTCGGTAATATGTCATACAAATTGTAACATTAAATTATAATGAAAATCATGCATGTAACATGAATATCGTTGGTATGGGTATGCTGACAATGAATTTTGAAGTGTTCTGGTGCATTCGTTAACATGTAAATTTAATTAAATCAGATAACACAGGCAGCCTCACCAATCAATGTTATTATCCAAATTTTGGTTTATATTCATGTAAAAGAGCATTACTAGTGTACTGTCAGTAAAGGTTCACCTGTTATATATCAACAAAAAGTCAATACATAAAGTCCACTGTACCCTGATTGTTACTAGTCGTCTGTAAGAGAAATCGCTTTGTTTCAGGGACGATGACGTCGTTGCAGTAGCAAGTTTGAACTTTGACCCCTTGGTATCCCAAGCTGCCGAGTTGATGGCCAAAGGTCAAAAAATTAAAAAGAGCGAGATTCAGTAAGTAAACATTGTATAAGACCAGAGATATAATGTATGCGCACAATCGTCAATATGTGTTTTATTTATTCATTTTCTATTCATATTTTTACTACAACTTCGTTATATTTTTAACTGGCATTTTGATATGTTTCACTAATATTTACTTATTCACTCCATCTGCTTCTATGATGCAATATCATAGTGAAAGTAAATTCAATAAAGTATATCATTCTACAGCCAATGGAACCTAATTTGGTTCTTTGGTTTTTTTTGAATTATGAAATACCCAGACGATTTTTGCAATCCTTTTTTTTATTTTCCTATGTTGCCGAGTTTTCAAAGAAATATATTTTGAATTCAAAAACTAATTTCCCTCTTACGTTATTGATGACGCTTCTGCATTAAAGCCCTTTTGGTCTCTGTGGAGTATAACATATCGATAGATAGATCCACAACGTTTAACGAGTCATGAATGGCAGATATTTATTCAAATACTAGTATTATAAGATATGTGTGTAATTTCCTAGGACTTCACGTTGTGAAATAAAACGATGTAAGGATTGTGAAAATTCTATCTTAAATAGTCCTATAATAATAATAAGTGTTGGTATAAACAATTTGGAGACATCTGCATCAAGGGCAGATCACTGATATAGTTTTCTAATTTCCATACACAGACCTTACCTGAATTGTTTTAATTTATCATATTGCTTATATTAATAATAATATTAATAAGACACTTGTAGCTTTAATAGTGTAGTGTATAATTATCCAGGAAACAGAACGTTTCTCTAATGGGTATATGGATAAAGTCTTGAGGATCATTCTAAATACCTTTTCTGTTCTTTTATTTTCAGAGAAAAGCCAGATACTTGGGTTGACAGACTGTGCAAACTGTAAATTTTGATTGAAAATGATCTGCAAACAAAAACTTCACAATTAACTGTGTATTTACACAAATATTGAATGTAAATCAGATGTTAATGGATTGAAGACAAAAGAAACATGCAAAAATTGTCGAAATTTTAAAATATTTTAAATTGTTGAAATCATCGGACTAACAAAAGTTGTCCCTGTTACAGTATGTGGATAATTATTTTCAGGAATATAAATAAACAACAAATTCGAATGATTTGAAATTTTCGACATGAACATTGATAATTTTAAATGTATGTGTGTGTTTGAAGCAGAGATTGGTTATTTTTGTATAAACCATCTTCGTAAAGAACAACAAAAATACAAATCACGTTATATATACGCAATTGACAGTAAGAGTGTTTGGTCATTTACCCCTAACTGTTAGATTTAAATAATATGATGTGTTAATCTGCCTTGAGTGAGCAAAGATGGTAGTGGTCCATTAGAATAAAGAATTCTGTAGTTTTAACGCGAGCAAATCGAAATGTACATTCATTATAGACTTTCAAATAAATTTTGCTTTTCTATCAATGTTGTCTGAGTAATATGCTTTATATACAATTTATGTTCATGCTATCTACTAGATATCCCTGTACTTACATGGGTTTGTTTGGGGAATTGAGTGTCTGTCACATTATCTCACCACATTATCTCTGTTCTTCTATATGTTCGCTATTATTACTCTATTCTCGTGGTTGACATATGAACGCAATAATACAGTCAGTCCAGTGACTTGCTTTCACAAGCCAGTGTGCAAAGTGTAACCAAAAATGAAGCGATGACCGTTATCTCATCATAATGTTATGTCATTAGCAAATGACAAACCTGTTTGAAATTACCAACTCATAAATAATCGCAGCTCTCCTTTTGTTTCCAAAGTAGTGCGGACTAATTTGGATCTCAACATTTTGGCTCTTAGCATCAGCAACGAGTCCTGGGAGGACGAAACAGCTGCATGTTGCAGTATCCAATTTTACAGGTGCAATCATGTGTGTCTTGCGTTCATTTTCATTATATATTGTTCTGGGTGTCTCATAGGCTCCTGTTGTTGCCTTTTGTACATTTCGTTCTTTTGTGATAGCATACGATATCATCTAATGTAACTTTCCGTCATTGTGTTGTTGTAACATAACATTCAAAAGGATGCCAACCAAAACCACAATGCTTAGAGCTCTGTATATGAAGTTTTGCAATTAACAAGATATTCGAGCTACCATAAGAAATACAAAGAACATTGTAGGTTTTATTAAAGTTTATTATTCTTAAACGATACATCATACGAGATACACCAGTACATGTTAATACAATGGCGAAAACTGACTAGAACGGATATTTGTACAAATGTGTAATTATGGATGTGATGTAGATGAATGAGTATAATTGTGGGGACAGGACACAAGAGATTGACGTTCTATACATATTGTCGGGATATAGTGTCTTCAGTCGGAGTATAACCTAAACACGTCGCGTTCGACGGGAGTAATAAAGTAGAGACAGGAAATGGTGTATAATATAGTATAAGACCGGAGGAGGGTCACAAGGTCGGATCACACTGAGAGCTAGGGCGAAACAAGGATGGTAGAAGGTGACAAAGACAGAAATATATAAAATAAATTATAAAATAACGTTAATTGCTCCTACATTACAGAATACATTCTTTATAGTAAACAATTTATACAAAGAATGTATATCAGTATGTAAACATATGTGTACAAGAGTGAGTCAATGGAAACCCTATATCTTAATCAGTCCATATCCAATGAAGCAAGATAACATTTACATCTATTTTCCGTGAGATGAGGTACATTTCCATACCGAATATACAATCACAATAATGAGCATGGTTAGGTGACATGAGATTGAAGTAACAAAGTGTGAACTTTCTTCCCAGTGGAAGTTTTCAAACTACATACATGAACCTTTCTTAAAATCTCAAAACAATGCAGATTTCTGCAACTGAAGTACCACAACTTCCAAAACTTGTTACAAAGAATTTAAATAGAACGTCTCTTTTAACTTGAATTGATGCTGTAGTAAAGGACATTATAGTTTGTCTAATAATAATAGAGTTAAAAGTTCGTTTTCATGATTTTGTCCTGTTGTGTAAAGGCATCCCTTAAAACAAATTGGGATTACATTAATATCATCAGTAACAATAACAATATCAACAACATCATTATCCCTATAGCACTAGGCAAGTAGAGGTATTATCAAACCTACTCAGGATATCATTATAGCACTGTGCTAGATACCATCAGTCTCGTGATTTAAAAACTAGGAGAGTAGAATAAAGTTTTCGGTTCTGAAATAGGAGTCATTTATGACTATTATGAAGCCAAGGGGAATAACTCACTGCAGAAGAATTTGAGACACAGGAAAGATTTAATAATGTTCAAAAACGGATGTGCTGCCATACTTCCCAGAACGGACTTGCTCCGATCTCCTCTATTGTTATGTCGGTCTTAATATCATTAGAGCTGATGTTTTATTGTTATTCCTCGACTAGCCGACTTTAAATAAAGTTTATCTGATCTCTCTCTGAAAGCAGTATTCTGAATCAGTAGATATCAGAGATCAACAAAAGCTACGCTCTTTAAGGCTTTGCATTTTCATAGTAAGTCTTACGAAACGTAAAAGGTTTTCGATCAGTTACAAGGGTCAACTTACTTACGTAACACAACGCTCCAAGGTCTATGTCTTGCGACGTATGACTCGTACACAATATAATACATTCTCTTCATCAAAGACCTTTTCTGACTTCACACTCACAGGGAACGTTTTAAATAAGAAAACTGCAGGACCATGCATGCTTTTGAAGCTAATTGAACATTTGTAAAGCAACACCTGTTTTTTAGAATTCTGATCGGCTTAAATTGTACATCCATACACAAAATTGGCAAGTACACTTCATCCATAGACAATATAGTATGTTCTCCCCATCAGTGATTTGTGTTGTGGGGAAGACGAAGTACATTGCACCCATAGACAATGAAGTACGTTCTCCCCATCAGTGATTTGTGTTTTGGGGAAGAACACTTCACCCATAGACAATATAGTACGTTCTCCCCATCAGTGATTTACAGACAATGAAGTACGTTCTCCCCATCAGTGATTTGTGTTTTGGGGAAGAACACTTCACCCATAGACAATATAGTACGTTCTCCCCATCAGTGATTTACAGACAATGAAGTACGTTCTCCCCATCAGTGATTTGTGTTGTGGGGAAGTACACTTCACACATAGACAATATAGTACGTTCTCCCCATCAGTGATTTGTGTTGTGGGCAAGTACACTTCACCCATATACAATTTAGTACATTCTCCCCATCAGTGATTTGTGTTGTGGGCGAGTACACTTCATCCATAGACAATGTAGTACGATCTCCCCATCAATGATTTGTGTTGTGGGCAAGTACATTTCACCCATATACAATTTAGTACATTCTACCCATCAGTGATTTGTGTTGTGGGCAGGTACACTTCACCCATATACAATTTAGTACGTTCTCCCCATCAGTGATTTGTGTTTTGGGGAAGAACACTTCACCCATAGACAATATAGTATGTTCTCCCCATCAGTGATTTGTGTTTTGGGGAAGAACACTTCACCCATAGACAATATAGTATGTTCTCCCCATCAGTGATTTGTGTTTAGGGCAAGTACACTTCACACATAGACAATGTAGTACGTTCTCCCCATCAATGAATTGTGTTGTGGGCAAGTACACTTCACACATAGACAATATAGTACGTTCTCTCCATCAGTGATTTGTGTTGTGGGCAAGTACATTTCATCCATAGACAATGTAGTACGATCTCCCCATCAATGATTTGTGTTGTTGGGAAGTACACTTCACACATAGACAATATAGTACGTTCTCTCCATCAGTGATTTGTGTAGTGGGCAAGTACACTTCACCCATATACAATTTAGTACGTTCTCCCCATCAGTGATTTGTGTTGTGGGCAAGTCCACTTCACACATAAACAATACAGTACGTTCTCCCAATCAGTGATTTGTGTTGTGGGCAAGTACACTGCACCCGTAGACAATATATTACGTTCTCCCCATCAGTGAATTGTGTTGTGTGCAAGTACACTTCACCCATAGACAATATAGTTCGTTCTCCCCATCAGTGATTTGTGTTGGGGGCAAGTACACTTCACTCATAGACAATATAGTACGTTCTCCCCATCAGTGATTTGTGTTGTGTGCAAGTACACTTCACCCATAGACAATATAGTACGTTCTCCCCATCAATGAATTGTGTTGTGGGCAGGTGCACTTCACACATAGACAATACAGTACGTTCTCCCCATCAGTGATTTGTGTTGTGGGCAAGTACAATTCACCCGTAGACAATATATTACGTTCTCCCCATCAGTGATTTGTGTTGTGGGCAAGTACACTTCACCAATATACAATGTAGTACGTTCTCCCCTATCAGTGATTTGTGTTGTGGGCAAGTACACTTCACCCGTAGACAATATATTACGTTCTCCCCATCAGTGAATTGTGTTGTGTGCAAGTACACTTCACCCATAGACAATATAGTACGTTCTCCCCATCATTGATTTGTGTTGTGGGCAAGTAAACTTCACCCATAGAAAATATAGTACGTTCTCCCCATCAATGGTTTGTGTTGGGGGCAAGTACACTTTACCCATAGGCCATGTAATACGTTCTCCCCATCAGTGATTTGTATTATGGACGAGTACACATCACCCATAGGCCATGTAATACGTTCCCCCATCAGTGATTTGTGTTGTGGGCAAGTACACTTCACACATATACAATTAAGTATGTTCTCCCCATCAGTGATTTGTGTTGTGGGCAAGTACACTTCACCAATATACAATGTAGTACGTTCCCCCATCAGTGATTTGTGTTGTGGGCAAGTACACTTTCCATCAGTGATTTTTGTTGTGGGCAAGTACACTTCACCCATAGACAATATTCTCCATCAGTGATTTGTGTGGTGGGCAAGTTGGGCAAGTACACTTCATCCTTAGACAATATAGTACGTTCTCTCCATCAGTGATTTTTGTTGTGGGCAAGTACACTTCACCCATAGACAATATAGTACGTTCTCTCCATCAGTGATTTGTGTGGTGGGCAAGTACACTTCATCCTTAGACAATATAGTACGTTCTCTCCATCAGTGATTTGTGTTGTGGGCAAGTACACTTAACACATAGACAATTTAGTACGTTCCACCCATCAGTGATTTGTGTTGTGGGGAGGTACACTTCACGCATAGACAATATAGTACGTTCTCCCCATCAGTGATTTGTGTTGTGGGGAAGTATACTTCACACATAGACAATATAGTACGTTCTACCCATCAGTGATTTGTGTTGTGGGCAAAGTACACTTCACCCATAGACAATATAGTACGTTCTCCCCATCAGTGATTTGTGTTGTGGGCAAGTACACTTCACACATAGACAATGTAGTACGTTCTCCCCCATCAGCGATTTGCGTTGTGGGCAAGTACACTTCACGCATAGACAATATAGAACGTTC